TGTGTGTGTGTGTATATATGTATGAGTATGTATGTGTATGTATGTATGTGTAAGTGTGTGAGTGTAAGTGTACGTGTAGGTGTGTGTGTGTGTGTGTGTGTGTGTGTGTGTATGTGTGTGTGTTCAGGGGTACATAGAGGTGTGAGGTCTCAAGATAGAGGGCTCGCAGAGGACTAGGGTGAGTAGCGTATTAATTTTGCCAGTTTTATACAGGGCAGGGATGTCGCAATAGGTGAAGGGGGGAGGAGGAGGAGGAGAGAGTGGGGGAAAGGGGGGAGGAGGAGAGTGATAGAAGGGTGGAAGAGGAGGAGGGGAAGGTAAGAGCAGGACGACGAGGAGGATGAGGAGAAAGAGAGATAGGAGGAGGAGGAGAGAGAGGGGAGGAGGAAGAAGAAAAGGTTGAGACTCGGGGGCCATGGGTAGTGGGGAGGGTGGGTGTAAAGGTTAGTTTTTAGTTTTAGTAGAGGTTTTACGGCGCCCGCAACTGCATAAGATCATAATATGAGCATCAGAAGATTTAGAGGTGTTACAAGAGAGTAACAAACACCAAAAAGAAGGTGGGGAGATAAAGCCGATAGATCGCTTGATAGGAAAGAAGCAAACCACACCAGAGCACAAGCAAACCACACCAGAGCACCTGCCAACCATTCATGAGGAGGAGGAGGGGGAAGGGAGCAGGAGGAGGAGGAGGATGAGGAGGATGAGGACGAGGGAGGAGGAGGATGAGGGAGGAGGAGGGGGAAGGGAGCAGGAGGAGGAGGAGGAGGAGGAGGAGGATGAGGAGGAGGGGGATGAGGAGGAGGAGGATGCGGAGGAGGAGGAAGAGAGAGATGGGAGGAGGAAGAAGAAAAGGTTGTGACTTTGGGGTTATGAGTTTTAGTTTTAGTAGAGGTTTTAAGGCGCTCGCAACTGCATACAATCATATAAGCGCCGAAGATCAGAGGTGTTACAAGAGAGTAACACACATAAAAAGGAAGGAGGAGAGATCAGGACGATAGAAGTTGTTTGATAGGAAAGAAGAAGCAAACCACACCAAACAACCCGCCAACCACCCACGGGTGTAAAGGTGACAGAGGGGCGGTGGGTGAAGTGTGAATATACAATGCATTTAGTGTGAATATACAAATCATTTAGTGTGAATATACAATGTATTCGTCTTGAGAAAAGACAAACAGTAAAAATAACAAAAACACACGGCACACAATAACGTCCTTTACGCTCTATGTTTGTTGGTTTAGATGATGGGGATAGCAAGAAAAGGTGTTGAGATAACAAAAAGACAGAGTGGAGGAGATTGTGGAGGTGATGAAGATGTAGAGTGGGAGAGAGAATGGAAGAGAGAGAGAGAGAGAGAGAGAGAGAGAGAGATAGAGAG